CAGACTGCCTATGATCGGAAACTCCAGGCGATCTGCGAAGCTGTTCTTCACTTCCGTCATAGCTTCGGGGGAAGACACATCACGATATAAAAGGACCACAAGCCTCTGACCCACGCCTTTCAACAGAAGCCTGACAATGCTTCTCTGTGGCAGTTTAGGCAACTTGATTTTATCGGGTAATTCACGACAGACATCGAACACGTAGCAAGTGCTGATAACATCGTAGCTAACGCTCTGTCCCGGATCGAAGCCATCTCCGAGTCAATGTGCAGTTCGCAGAGATCCAACGTGGAGACCAAAAACTCCAGCAGAACGATTACGGACTGAAACTGCAGATCGTCAGACTTTCAGAATTGGAAGAGAGGTATTGCGACATTTCACAGTCTGGTACGATCCGTCCGTACGTACCACAATCGCTGAGGAAACAAGTCTTCATATCCATCCATTCGCTCGTACACCCTAGAGCCAAATTAATTTGCAAGCTCATCACCAATTGCTACGTCTGGTGTGACGAACCTTTTGGCTCAAGAAATTGTTTAAATTTTTCCTTTGTGCTCCGGTGCTTCAGTTGCCAGGGTTTATATGAAGGAAGTTAATTCAAAACGCCGTTCGTCCAGTAAATTATCTCCAAATTTCAAATTTGTCCCAGTTGTCCCGTTTTACCAGCTTTTACAATTTATTACCAGATTTTTCCAGACTTAACAAATTTCTACCTAGATTTCCCAGATACCAGATTTCCACGAATTTACCAGATTTACTTTACGAATTTAATTGTTAGTTATTCTGCCAATTCAGTATAAAGTATCAGTCCCCCAGATACCAGATTTATCCCAGAGAGTTTAATTACCAGATTTTGGACTGAACGTTACACATTTACTTGACCCAAATAAACCAAACAATTCCCAGATAATTACATGAGATACTTTTGCTCAATTTCTCTCATGAATTATTTTACCAGACACATGATTCTAAATTCTATTAATCATGGAAACGAATCCCTCAGTTTTGGCCGATTCATGTAGCCTTGAGCGCATCATAGGAATTATAGTTTCCATTACCAGCTTTATTAACAAAATAATAATTCATACTTCAAATTAACAATTACACAGACATCAAGTAATGCCCACAGAATCTTCTCGTTGATACTCAGTTTCAGATTAGTACAAGCCATATCAAATATCAATTTCCAAGTAATTAACCAGTAACTCTAATTATACATTCCCGATTCAGATTTCGGATTTAAAATCCGCCTATATAGTACAGCCCACAAAATAACCCTCTGCATACCAGCCGTCGGTAATCCAGAACAATGTAAGACCCAATTTCAAGATGGCTGAGTCGGAGAATGAACAACGTCATTTCCCCCTCGAGATATTTCGCGAGAGAAAGAATTTCCCACCCAAGAGAATAATTTCTCCCTCCGCGAACGTTCCACCCCGCGTGGCTCTACCACGACAGTTTTATCCGTCGCTGTCAAGGGCTCGACCACAGCTCGCTTTTAGTCAAGGACTAATTAAGCTGGCTGCTGACAAAAACTAAATGGCTCGACCACAGCACACAAGTAGCAAAATGCTAATTTAGTAGCTGCTGACAATTTGACTCTACCACAGCTCGCGATAGTCAGAGACTAGTGTCGCTGGCTGCTGTCAATGGCTCAACCACAGCTCGCTAGTAACTAAAAGTTAATATAGCTGGCTGCTGACAATTGGTTACTTTTCTCTCCTCCGGCGAGGATCGTAGGTGAACCCGGGTGAGGCCTTCCTGATCGCCCCACCACACCTGCGTACCGAACTGAGCCGCTGCCCGAAACTTAATACCTTCAAAGGGCTATTTGACTCGTAGAAATAATGCGCCACCTAGGTCGGTCGCGGAACTACCATATTTCAAAATATTCCCCGGGAGTCGATAGCCCACTCAACCACCTTTACATTCACATTTCTAAATTCCATATAATTCTCATTAAATTCACAAAATAAAAATACCCTCAATAATTCACAAAACTTCCAAAATACAAAATCATAAAATCATGAATCTCTCAATTGTGAGAATCCTCACACTGGACAGGCATCAACAAGGACTGCTCGGAGTGAACCTGCTACTGTCCGTCGCGTCAGAAGAACAAGATCGCCAGACACGCCTCCACATGTCTCGCAGAAGTTCACCTTACCAATGCAGCGATTTGAACACATCCACGTGAACCTGATCTCGCTCTTTCAATCCAGAAAATACAAAGACTGTCTCACGATCGTCGATAGGTTCACACGATTCCCCGAAGTCATTCCACTGCTGAACGCAAGAATTGAGACTGTCGTCCACGCGTCCCCTTCCACTGGATCGCCAGATTCGGCGTACCACTCAGGATCACTTTCGACAGGTGAAGCCTGATCATCGTGCACATCTACTGAAAGCTGACGTAGCTTCTGGGTATCCAAAGGAAGCGAACAACACCGGTACACTAGCAGGCAAATGGTCAAGTGAAGAGGCTGCATCGTCAACTAAAGATAGCTCTTCGTTGTCATGGTGACTCCTAGTTCGACGTACTGTCATTCGTCTTGCTAGGACTTCGAACCGCGTGGAAGCCTGACATACAGAGTACAATAGCTGAACTCACCTATGGAAAAAACATACGCATCCCAGGTTAATTGATATGGAATATAATCCCGGATTCTCTCCTACCTCATCCAAATCCGATCCAACCATTTCCCATAACTTCACAAAGATGTGAATCGCTACATAAATTCCCTTCCGTAACTACCTGGCAAACACCTCAATCTCCATCAATCGCCTAAAGCCGACATTCATCTTGCCAGACGATATGGAGCAGGTGTTCCAGCAAATCCCGGAGAACTACCCACAACCCCAACAGCTTCAACAGACAATGCCCATTAACAACAAGGCTACCGCAGAGGTCTCCCGGCAGCCAAGAAGGGTCATCTCCAACGATCACTCACAGGCACGCAACTTCAATCCTGACCAACCGCTCAATGCGTGCGCTATGACGCACAGAGGGCACTCCAGGATCGCTAGCACAAATCTCACTTGGACAAATTAATTTTTTCGCTGTCTATTTTAGAAAAACATACTCATTTTTTACTAAACCAGGGAGTCCTGTAGCACCTCGCTACATGCACAACCAGAGGCCCGTCACTGACCTCTCATACTAAACTCACCGTCATACACTCATACACCTGAGAACCACCGATGGTCCCCAGTGTCTAAACTGGTCCGACTGTACCTGTCAGTTTTAACCCGTCGTTCGGCTTCCGCTTACACAACTCAATCAATCTACTTTTCTTTTGGACATACACGCTTTGGCGAATACACCAATTGTTAAACTATTTCACCTGTAGTGATTTCGTGCTCCAGAGTCACCCATAGCGAACCTTTTTTTTTATTAGTACCATACCGAACCTTACACTACGACATTTTCGGCATTGTTCGATCCTCAAGTTGGGATGTATTGAATGTAATTTGGTTAAATTTTCATAAAGTTATTGGAGATAGATTCTCTGTTGAACGTCATGTTACACTCTGAAATTCGATTTTTTCATCCATTAGTCAATCTTTGCACTTGACCAATGAGGATTTATACACCAGTTTGAAAATCTCAACAAGCTCTACAAAATGGTGTCTGATTTTCCTCAGTTCATCTGTTTCATCAAATGTTATGGGCGATTATTATGTCGAAATTGGCATGTCACAAATTGAAAATTTCCTATTTTCCATCATTTTGTTGGAATTTACAATTTTCTGATTAAATTGTTAGAAAAAATCTTATATCGAGTGTAAAGCTAATTAAATAAGCCTCAAATTCCGACGTCAATTCTTCAATTTCGCCCTTTTTTCGCAAAGTTATGGGGATTTCTGGCAGAATTGGATTTTTTCCTGTTTTACTTGATAATTCAACTTTAAATGTATTTTTCTATCCTTTCGAATGAAATTAGCGGAAAAAATATATATTACTTCAAAGGGCATTATTTGTTCGGCAAATTGTGAAGTATTCAATACGATTTAGTTAAATTTTGAACGTCATACCACGCCTTGGAATTCAGTCTTTTCGTCCAATATTGGATCTTCGCAATTAATCAATGAGGATTTATGAAAAACCAATTAGAACCAATTAGAATTATGAAAAAAATATATATATTCTAAGAGAATTAGAATTTAGAGAGAAAAAATTTCCGCTTCACCCAGCCGGGAATCGAACCCGGGTCTCCCAGATACGCGCCGGGTACTCTTACCGACTAGCTACCGGGAACCACAGAAATTCACTTTCAAATTCACCTCAAACACCGCCTAACCTCCTTTAGGCATTAAAGAATTCTAAGGGAATTAGAATTTAGAGAGAAAAAATTTCCGCTTCACGCAGCCGGGGATCTCACCGAGATCTTGAAAATGACGTGTGATTTTTCTCATTACGTCTACTTGATCAATTACAAATTACAAAATTAGAATTAGAATTACTAATAATCGATCGATTAATGAAATCAACAATTAGTTGAGTCTAAAAACTTGATTGAAGCATCAATTTCATGCAGTCCAGCTTGCTCGAATTATTCTGTGATGGGTTCCTCAAATTCTGAAGATTTCCCCGGTTTCTGGATACTATTGAGGCTGAAATTTTTGTAGAGGAAGGCAATTTCACCAGAATGTCAGAATTATACCCTTCTTTATCCCTTTGGATTTCATGCTTTTTGAGATTCACAATAACGCCTATAACGCATATAGTACTACAAGAAAATATTAGGCAGGCAAATCCATTTTATAGGAGAAGAAGAACCCATTAAAGGTCGTTTTGTATCCCATAAAACTGTCTACAAAGATGTCCCGTAATTTTTTACTCAAACGCTTTTTTCATTACAGCTATATTTGAAAAAAAAGATCTTTCAAGTCAATTTTGCAAATATCTCCAAGATAATCAAGAAAAGGGCCTATTATTAACCATGTAAACCACTGTCTCTTGGACATATCAGATATTGAAAGTTTATCCTTTCTTACAGTGGCGAATCAACCCCATTATCTACGTCAGATCGACCATCATCGCCTTTTCGACTGTTAGTTTTGGTTTTTTATTCGCTCAATTATACACTACGAGACATAGAAAAAGAATGGCAATGAGTGAGTACATGAACCTGGGAATTCTCCTCTTATTCAGTAAAATTGGAAACGATATGATTTGTTTTCTCTCTTTCAGCATTCTGCTACATGATTGCAGTAGTCAGCAGTTTCCTAGCGAATTGGGTACAACTCGTCCCCATAATGCTTATCCTATCATCGGCCATTGTTGTCTCTAGCCGTATAACGGGTAACATAGTTATCGCTATTAACGCCACTACTATTCCACTACCATTAAGGTAATAAACTCTCTCCTTCTACCCAACTCTCTTATCTGTATTTCGCTAATGAGCATTTGTAATGCGATTGTTTTGTGCTGTCTTGTGTCAAAAAGAGATTGAACGCGTGATTAAATGTTTGAACTCTATTACAGGGCAACTGCTGTTGGCTTCATCACTAATACTGGAAATTTAGCGACAATTCTGGGTAATTTGATTTTCAGCTTTTTACTTGGCGTCCATTGTTACAGCGCCTTTGTTGGAATTGGATGTATTTTATTATGTAAGTATCAAATTTTTTGTTGAATATTCCCCGCGACTTTGAATTTATTTGAAATAATTCAGCAAAAGGAAGTGGGAGAAGAGGACATATGGATGAATATTTAGATACATTATTATGTTAACATATCGTTGTCTTGAGCCAAAAGAGCGTATAAGCATATTTTTACGCCCTTTCAGCTGTACGATAACTTTATCACGACAAGAAACTTTAAAAGAAATTTCATGAAAGATTTCATAAGCTACGAAAAAATCTTCTGACATTTGTCATTAAATTCAGTAATTTTTGAGAAATTCGCGGAATTGTCCCATATGGAATTCCTAGGCTGTGATGTATTCGAAACCCATTTCCCAATCATTTTATTTTGGAGATATGGGTGATTATCTACAAATTGTGATTTTTCACCTCGTACATTTTTCAAAATCTGAACGTGGCTGTAGAGCATTTTTTATACGTTTCTATATGGCCTAATGGTCTAGAAGTATAGTCCTAGCACCACTCTACTACAACTTCAAAAGATTTAGAATAATATTGTTACCGATTTTTGACTGCCACGGTGGTGACCAAACTTGACAAATCTTCGTATTTCAATCAAGGAATTTAATTTTTAGATAATAGAATAACTTTACTGATTTATTTGACAGCTTTCAAGTATCGTATATTTATTTGCACAGATCAGTTTGGTTTTTTCTCAACAATCAATTTTGACACAGCATAGGTGTATTCAGCGGTTGTTCATGACCCACCTGAGTGTTACCTCGAGTTTGCACAATTTAAACACTTAAAACTTTTTTCTAAATACCTTAGTGATGATATACCTTCACTCCCACACGTTTATGTATGATATGACACGGTTGTGACAGCCACGGTTGTGATATTTTGTGTGAAAACCTAATCGCACTTCGCTCCAGCTTTGAATTGAAAAATCTCTGAAGATGATGAGTTTCAGGCAATATAATATTACATTTTCATGAAAACAATTAGCTAAGAAATTACACTACATGGAACAATCATGAGACCACGGTAGTGACAGAATAATTTGTGACTTGTCTTTTACATGTGTCTGGTTAATTTTTACTGGTGTACATACTGGCCCTTACCCCTTCATAATAGAATTTCTGTGCGTGCGTCATGTGCAAACATCGAAAACGGCGCGACAACAGTTGAATTCAAATTTCTTAAAACCGTGCTATAATTGGGGGACAAATTTTTTGATCATCCAGGTGAGCGTAAAACAGTTATTGCTTTGAAAATTGCTCATGAAAGTATAGCTAGTTACATCCTCTATTATCTATGTTCAGGAAATTTTCTTTGAGCTACTTATTCACTAGGTTTCATTGACAAAATCTCGAATTTTATAAAAAGGTCATACTACACTGAGAAAAAAATTTATTCCTTCCAAGAAAATGTTATTGGTGATATCTTTTTCATACTCTTAGTAGAAGAAAATATCTCTTTTGGAACGTATTTCTCCAGGCCAGTCATTTCCAGGTGCTCCGAAATCAATTCCAAACGGGAGAATTATGGTGATCTATAAGAATATTCTTCTGCATATGACCTCGAAGAAACTCCAATAATAATTATTAACATTTGGAATTATTCCAATTTTCTTTACCTGAGAAAATCGCCAATTTGTAAAATCCGGAAGATATCGGAGAACATTTTGTCAAGGTCATAGGTAGCATAATAATCAGATTGTTCAACATCACTGTAATTTTTGAGGATAGACTTGGACTCTCTGAAAATGACTGTCCTGGAAAAATTCGTTCTGAAAAAATATTATCTTCTGACGAGAATATCAATCCTTGGCAGGAATAATTTTTTCTCTCAGCGCATGGTAGTGACATTTAGGCTCGTTTCAGCTATCTAGAGCTAAATAAATGGTCAGGGAATGGCATCTATTTTATGGAAACAATGAAATGCCACAGTGTCTCCCGACATCTGGAGAAATTTGATTATTATTTCATTATTTTGAGAATGGAAAAGTTGTAGGATAAGAAAACAATTTTGTAGATAATCGCCCATATCCCCTGGAAGAAGAGACTTAGAGTGAATATTATAGTGAACGCAAATTTTTTGTGTTTAATGTAAATGAATACAAGCAGGGTTTTGAGCCTATTCGACAGAAGCAATGTGATAGTAACTTTATGCATTATTAGTCTTTTTTCTTTCTCTCTATTAATTTCATTGGGAATAAGTTTCTGAATGGATTTGTAGCAACGGTTCTAAGATAAATGTTCCCTTAAAAATCGTTACCAGAAAATGGTTTTTGGAAAATTGTTCCTCGGAAAAATCTTCCTCATGCTTTCTTTTTCCACGCCAATTCTCGATTTATCGTCATTTTCATTTATCTGAATGGCTAGTTATTTGTTATGTCTTTCCTTCGTACCGTTCAATTTTTCCATGATTTATTATTTACTTTTAGTCATTGACATACCACTCCAATTGAATTGAACCTTTGTTTGTGTTGCAGCTATGACATTCCATCAAATATTTCATGATATAATTGAAATTTCGAGAGAATATAAATTTTGATTTTATTGACTTTTTAAGTCATTCAGGGGGCTCATTCTCATTCAGCTACACATATGGTTATTGGAATAACGACACCGGATTGGCCGAAAACGTAATGACAGCGCCATATTTCAAACACAAATATAGAAATGAATTGCAAGTTACAACTAGAAAATCAGCTGTGGTAAACGAAATGTGCATACCGTAAAAGAAATGCCATTTTTCGTTAATAATCGTAAAAGTTAGGAAAAGTACCACTTTCTGCAAAAAATCTGTAAACAAAAAAGGACTTTTCTAAGTACGTGTTTCTATAAAAATTAATCAGACCAGTAGATTGGGAGATATTGAGCAAAACAATATTTCACAAGAAGTTAAATATCTTCTAAACCTCTTGTCCAAATTTGCCTACCTATAATTTCATCCTGCAATATAGTAAAAGCTAGGAACTCGCCAAATTTCAACATCCTATCTCAATTTTTTCTGGTGTTATCATGCACAGAACGATTTCCTCACTAAACCAAAAATGCCTATTATTACCAAATTGTCTCTAGTTACATAGCAATATTGCGATTCGATTTGATAGATATTATCACACGCGATATTTCGGTATTAACAATTACATTCAGTCACCTATTTTCGCAGATATTGACGTACAAAGATTTTTGAGAAATTGTTGTATCTCGGACGTTTCTTGACCGATTGAGCTGAAATTGCATCTGAAAATGCTCCAAAGTAATACCAATTATGTAACGGAATTCCAGATGTTTCACTGCAACTTGAGTCCTTTTTCTGGGAAGATTTATAAAAAATTTTAGAAAAATTCACACACACAGTTGGACATGAACACACATTTTCTAAAAACATTATATTCTCACATTTCATGATATTCTACATCATTCCCAAACAAGTAGATATATAATTAGGAACTCAGATGAGGGCGGGGCGGAGGTCGCGGACCCTTCATGCACGGGTTCACATTTTCGCCACTCGACAGTAGCTCCTCGGGAGAGATAGGGCTCGCAACCTACTTACACGGGTTCCTATACGGTTCGATAGATAGAGTATTCGAGTTCTTGACTTCCTAATACTGTTTCTGGATACAAACCTCGGAAACGCGCTGGGAGATGGCGGTGTCGGGAGGGGGGGGGGGAGATAGAGTGCGATGTGGATATCAGAAGTTTACGTCTTAAAGTATAGGTGGTGAAATGGGGGGGGGGCGATGTAGCCACAATATGCGTTGCACGCCTGTATTTATCAGTGGACATGTATGTCTTCTATAAATAATCACGATCGAAGGAACGAACGACCTTCATAGTGCTTGATGGCGAGCCGTTGGAGAGTCAGATTGAATCCCACTGAATGTCTACATTTATGTTGAGAATGAGAATTTTTTTCAGACAATTGTTTAAGACTCTGGAGAAGAATAATTTTAAGATAAGTATCCAATGGATTATGATAGAAATTGAAATTTTATGTCAAAAAGTTAGCCGTGATCTAGCAGCTATATTTATTAGCGGGCACGTACACGTTGTCTAAACAAGAGTGCACATCCTCCAAAGTACGCGCAATTCGTCATTGAAGAGTTGGAAAAATATAGCAATGTATTCAAATTTCATACAGGCAAATCCTTATTCATATTAAGTAGTGAGAAATCAAAAACAAAAATTTAATTTGATTCTCTATATGACAGTCCTATATCCAACCACGTATAATTGCAAATAGTCCGTTGAATGTTTATATAAATGCACGTGAGCGTCTGTCAGCTGAGACCACAGGAAACGATCTCGCGGCTACCTGGGATTCTGGTGTGAAATCGGTGCGGAATGAACGAACGAAGTTGATGGTATAAATATATGCGATTGGGAAGGTTTCTCAATGTGGAAAAAAGCAGACCGTATATTGGACCATTTAAAGAGACCGCAACAACTCAATTTAGCTTGAAGAGGATGACCATCTGAAATTGTCCCATTTACTAAAGATGAAAGAAACGTGAAGTTGTTTTATATCGAAATATCTCGAAACTGCCTGACCGCTAATCCTTAATTCTGATTGGTCAATATGTGATACGAAGTTATTCACAAAAAAAACACGCGGCGTTTTCAAATTCTTCAGATCACAAAATTTGTTTCTTGCGTCGTATTTCTCATTTTCTCAGGCGCTTCATGTGTGAAAATAATTCTTTCTATTTTCCTGGATTTTGACTGGTAATTCGTCTTCATGATTCTTATAAATTTCAATTCCTAACATTTTTTCTTTTTTCGTGGATAGCAGAAAATAGATTTTTTTTCATTGTTTCATGTGGAATACGTGGGTTTCATTTATGAAGATTCATTATCATATCGTAAATTTTCATATTTTGAATTCATTCATCATTTTTTAATATTTTCACTTTATCAATATTTTTTTTTTGGATCGTAAAACAAATTTTACAAAAATGTGACCATTTCCATCAATTGCCTGTTCATGAAAAAAATATAATATCATCAATGGAAATAGTAATTGAATAACTCTGCGAGCCCTTCTCATCGAGCATTGTGAGAAACGCAATAAAACGTTGAGAGACGTAATAAAATATTCTAAAGTGATAAATTCAATAAATTGAGTTGAAAAATGGCTTCTGGTGAGTGAGAGTTCACTACGAATGAAGAGATTGATGCTTTTTGCCCTGGAAATGTCATGAAGTGAGTATATTTACCGATATTTTTTGTATTATTCACGAGAATTCATTAAAATCTATTCTTAACATTTACCCCTTCCTCCTTATCAACAGGTGTCCACTTTATGGTCTGTTTTGTTTACATTTCATTTTCCATTCAATGAGATCTACTTTTCATTTTACATTGATAAAATAAAAATAAAAAATCACAAGTACTCTTTTTCTCTACATAATGACCGAATAAAATTGAAATAAAATAAAAATATTTACAGGGAGATCTGTGGATACATCGATCTGATCGAACCTCTTCGAGAGGTAAAAACCTTTCAAAAGTATGTTTTCAAAGTTCAAGTAAATAATGCCAATGGAAAACAGATCATGATTGTTTTTTGGTCAGATCGTGCGCATCATCTTACAGCCGTCAATTGAGACAAAATGACGTACGTATGAGTTCATGTTTAGGAACAGGTGAAATATGAAATATGAATTTTTATCGTTATTGTAAATGAAAAAATTTCACGTGAAAAATCAATAGAATTCGATTTTTCTCTACACTCATTCTATTTAATTTAAAATATTTTTCATATTAATTCATCCATGTGGATTTCGTATGTTTTTTGCTTCATCTTCCGAATGAAGAAAGGAAAGAATAAAGAGAAAATACTTGAAAAAACTACGATGAAAAATTTTTACAAAAAAAAATTTTAACAGAATAACTTTTCATAAGAAATTGAGATTCTATCGATTTTTTTTTCTGTCAATCAAAAATCATTTCTATCAAATATTTTTTTTATAAAAAAAACGTGCAGAAGAATCGTGGAATTTTTCAGCAAAATCGATGAAGACCTCATAGTTTATAGCAGATATATTACTGAATGTTTTATCCTGTAGCTTTTTTCATTATTTCTGTATTCCAATCTTTTTGAAAAGATTAAATGGACATGAAAAATTGATATTATTTTAATCATTCTTTTATGCTGGCACGTAGGAACACCAAGATATAAAACATCATGATCTCTTTTGATCAGTTCTAACCTGATTTTGCTAAATTTTTCTAAACAAACACGTATTTAAAAATTTAAAATTTCGCTTCCTACAGAAAAATTCTATTGAATTTTCATAAGAATTCTTAAACAGGAATTCGTCAAGTTCGTTGTCCTTCGATTTCATGAAAACAAATAAAAATACAACTAAAGAAAATATTCTATAAAAGAATCGGAATCTATGGATTTTTTGCTATTGTTAAATATTTCTCAACAAAATGATCATATAAAATGATGATAAATGATAGTGTATGAATACCATTCTATGAGATTCGTGCAAAAAACAAATAGAATTTTTTAATAGAATTTTCGTAGAACGCCAAAGGAATTCTTCTAGAATTTCGATAGAAATCCAATCGAATTTCTTAGAGAAAAGACTAAGTTTCTCTATTCACTTTTTTCATGCGTGAAAAATCATATATTCAATATTTTCCACCCTATGTTGCAATATTTTCCAGTAAATCCTTCAATAAATACATCTATATCATAATAATCAAATTTCCTATTGTATTTAACAGGTTCTTCACATAAATCGAGGAACAATCGGCAAAGTCGATTTCAAATTTTATAAAGGTCAAGAACAAAGCCTCCATCCCTTGGACTTTCATGTTCAGAAGGAAAGTGTCGTGAAGACTCTAGGTACATATGATCCTAGAAAACGGTGTCGTAAACCCATTGAAAATTTTACAGACACTTGAGTGAGACAATTGAGTGGGCGCTCTCAGTGGAAGGTCCGATTGGTAAGCATGAATTTAATTTTCACTCGTAATAAATTGCTCATATAATATTAAAAATAATCTGAGAATAATTTACTTGAAATTTTCAAATATGATCAGTTTTCAAATTTGTTATAGATGTTTCTTCTCTAAATCAAATAATGAACATTTCTGAGAATTATTTCAGGTATCACGGCATATCTAAAAATAGAATTCAGATGTTTCAAGAAGACCCCATCTGGCGATCTGGCTTATGGAGTTCTCGCTGATGGAATCTATCAACTGTGCGCGCATATTGAATATTA